GGCCTTCACCACATTATTGTCTGTGTACATGGGTTTTGAATATATGCAAATAATGTCTTAGGTTAATCTCTCCCCACCCAACCACCCCTCTGAGATTTGTCAGTCTGTTCCATTCTTCTATGTCTCTCGATCTATTTTGTTCATCAGTTTATTTTGTTCATTAGATTCCACATATGAGTAAGATCATGTGACACTTACCTTTCTCTGACTGGCNTCTGGCTTATTTAGCTTAGCATAATACTCTCCAGGTCCCACCATGCTGTCTCATAGAGTAAGGGATCCTTCTTTTTTACAATTGCATAGCATTCCATGGTATAAATGTCTGAGAAGATGCTTGATATGATTTCAGTCTTCCTGAACTTGTAGAGACTTGTTTTGTATCCTTACATGTGGTCTGTCTTTGAGAATGTCTCATGTGCACTTGAGGAGAATGTGTATTCTGCAGCTTTGGGGTGAAATGTTCTGTGAATGTCAATTAAATCCATCTGATCTAGTGTGTCATTTAGAGTCACTGTCTCCTTGTTGATTTTTTGTCTGGAAGATCTATCCAGTGATGTCAGTGAGGTGTTAAAGCCCCGTACTATGACTGTATTACTATCAATCTCTCCTTTAAAGTCCTCCAGAAGGTTTGTTTGTTGTTGTTTTTCAGCCTGTGTGTCTTTTGTTCTGAGGTAGGTCTCTTGTAGACAGCATATATTTAGGTGATGTTTTCTTATCCATTGTCTTTTGATTGCAGCATTTAATCTATTTATGTTTGAGATTATTATTGATAGGTACTTATCTATTGCCATGCTTATGTTTCTCATTCTATTTCAACTTATTACAGCAGTTCCTTTAACATTTCCTGCAACGCTGGTTTAGTGGTGACAAACTCCTTTAGCTTTTTTTTTGTCTGGGAAGCTCTTTATTTCACCATCCATTTTGAATGTTAGCTTTACTGGATAGAGTAGTCTTGGTTTCATATCTTTGTTTTGCATTACCTTGAATACTTCATGTCATTCCCTTCTGGCCTGTAGAGTTTCTGATGAGAAATCAGCTGACAGCCACTTGGGAGCTCCTTTGTATGTAACAGATTGCTTTTCTCTTGCTGCTTTTAATATTCTCTCTTTGTCTTGAATTTTTAGCATTTTAATTATGATGTGTCTGGATGTGGGCCCATTTGGGTTCTTCTTGCTTGGGACTCTATGTGCCTCCTGAACTTGTGTGACTTTTTCCTTCACCAGATTAGGGAATTTTTCTGCCATTATTTCTTCAAACAGTTTCTCTAACCCTTTCTTACTTTCTAGATCTTCTGGCACTCCTACGATGTGAATATTGTTACATTTCATGTCCCACAGCTCCATTAAACTGTCCTCCTGTTTTTTAATTGTTTTTTCTTTTTGTTTCTCTGATTGAGTGATTTTTTTTCTACCCTGTCTTCTAATTTGCTGATCTAATCCTCAGCTTCCTCTAATCTGCTGTTTATTCCTTCCAATGTGTTGTGTTTTTTTTTTTATTTCTACTATGTCATTCTTAATTTCCTTCATAGTTTCCATTTCTTTTCTCATGCTGTTGAGCATCCTTATGATCAGCATTCTGAGTTCAACTCCATATCTTATATACTGCTTATCTCCATTTCACTTAACTCATCTTCTGGAGAATTCTTTTTTTCTTTCATTTGGGGCTTATGTTTTATCTCTCCATTTTTGCTGCCTCTTTGACTTTGTTTCAATGTATTAGGTAGATTTGCTAGTACTCCCAATCTTTCGGAAGGTCTCTGGTGCAGGCCAGTGTCAGACGCTACCCTGAGTCTTGTGACTGGCCTTGAGTACCCTGTTTGAAGCTTCCCACACTCCACAGCTTGTGGTTCCCTCTTATGTGGTTGGGAGCTGGGCGCATTTGGACAGGACCAAGACGTGCACCAAGTTGTACTTTTCCAAGCCCTGGGTCCAGAAGGAAATCAGACAAAGACTTAAAGCATCCAGAGGCTGATTGTTATTCCGTCTCTTAATGAGCCTCAGGTTGTAGAAATTCCACAGGGTTTTCCAACAGGGTGGGGAAATTGCTTCCCCCCTCAGGCAAAAGCCGTTTGGACAGTAAATGTCTGCCTGAGAAAGATGACCTCTGCCACATGGGGGAATGACTCAGCGCAAGAATCCAGATGGCTGCCCTTTGAACTCCATCCCCTAAACCAGCATCTCTGGATTTACTTCACACAGCTTTAGTCCACTCTGCCCTCTGTCCGCCATAACCCAAGGTGAGTGGCTGCACATGAAGCTTTGTGTGTTGGCCCTTTAAGAGGGTGCCTGCATTTCCAGCAGTCTCCCCCTGGCAGACAGAAACCCTGCCGCTTTTCACAGCCAGGTGTTATATGGCCACCTTTCTCAGTTGTGGTGCTCTGGGCTGGGAAGCCTAACTTGTGGTTTATACCCCAGAGTCCTCAGTGGGAACAGCTCACAGCTGAGACATCTCTCCAGAACTTCAGCTGCTGCCTGTGGTGCCAGGTCAACCCTTTCATGCCTCCACGCTTCCTATCAGTCTCTATGCAGTCTCTGCTTTATGTCCTTGGTTATGAGGGTTCTCTCCAGGTAGTCTTCAGTTGCAGTTCATTATTCAGGATGGTTTGTCTATATTTTAGTTGTAATTCCAGTTTTGTGCTGGGAGAGTGTCAGTGTAGCTTCCACTCAATCTGCTGACATCTTCCAAATTGTCAGAAACAGAATTTTTGCATAGCCTCAAATTATCTTTCCTCCCAATTATTTAATAATGATACAGTGAAAAATATTTCCATTAGTAAATCTTTCTGTCCCCCTTCTACCTTTTGCAGTTTGTTAGCTGTAAACAGTTATCTTAAAAATTAATTTCCTTTTCTTACACTTGTGAAAAATTCTCCTTGGAAATATCAGTGGAGAAAATTAATTATTATTACAGGGAATGAATGATCAATAAGAAGCACTTTCATTGGGACTATAAACATAATTTAAGCATTAGATTTGCTGGTTGAGAGCCATTATAATAATAATTTTTAAATTATTGAGCTCAAACTCTTCTGGTCTACTTCCTCTCTTTAACTTTATTCTTTAGCCCTGTCGACTTCCTCCCCTACCAATCTACTAAAATTATGCTCTGAAACATCATCATAGTCATCTGAGTGACCAGTCCAATAGCCTTTCCTCAATCCTTATTCTCCTTAACTTATCACTGTTACCTATCCCTACTTTTTCTTGAAATTCTTTTCTATTTTAATTTCTACAACACTATACTATCCTAATTCTTTTCCTCTTTCTGTCTTTCACTCACCCAACTGTGAGGGTTTTCCAAGATTCTGTTCTTGGGCCATTTGTTTATTATATATAGGTACTACATCTATAATTTGTGCTTCATGTATCACTCATGGGAATGATTCCCAAACCCTCATCTCTTACTGTCTTCTAATCATTTCTGTTTGTTTTCTCCTGCTACCTAAAACGTATAAAATCAAACTCAAGTTTATTACAGATTAATCTCACTTCTTCATACACCTACCTATAATGTCATCATTATCCCAGTTCTAGTAGTTAGAAGTCACATCACAAAGTTCTTGCTAAGGCAGAGGAATATGTACGTGCTCTGCCTTCTCTGAAGCACACTATCAATAGTGAAAGGCTATAGTGTAATACCTCTGCTCTAAAGATGTATATCTGTCTTTGGAGTGATAAGACAGACTGTGTTTATTATCCTTTTACCAGGATCCCAATCGTCTATACTATGAACCCGCTGAACTGAAGTTATTTGAAAATATAGAGTGTGAATGGCCGTTGTTCTGGACATACTTTATCCTTGATGGGGTCTTCACTGGAAATGCAGAACAGGTAATGCACTGAGGAAAGAGCCTTTTAGCGTAATGTTCTTATTATGTCTTCCTCTTTCAGTTAATGGTTGTGCCAACCCTGTGGAACTCTTCCTTAATACGGAGGAGATAAAGTTCTCTCCTAGAGAATAATAGTTGAGGGCACTAGGTTAGGATTTGGAAGACCTGGTATTGCTATGTCTAACATTTTGCTTTTAACAAACATAGAAAGCAAAATAGCAAGCTCTGTCTACTTGCCACAGTAATTAGAGGTACTCAGATTTATTTCCTGACTTTGTATATCCTTTAAAAAATAAATCTTAGATATGATGGTCTTCAATTTAGTCTCCTCCCCCCCAAAAAACCCAAAAACCCCAACAATCCACTCATTCCTGTCCTCACCCCACCCCCCAAAACATGGTCATCATTGCTTTTTTGGCTACATGAATAAAGTAGTTTAGAAATCATCATTAGAAAACGGTGAGATTGGGAATCTTAGTCAAGTAAATTTAGTGTCTGGCACCAAAAATTGGCTATAGTCTAAACTTGGACATAAATCCAATACATTTGGAAGTCACTTATACTTGGCTACCTAAAATACAATTTCGTGTAATTTGAATGCTTTGGCCAATATTAATCTGTAACTGCCAATATGAGTTTAAATAATAGAGTTTCACCAAAGTTTCTGGGACCACAAAGTGCAATTTTACTCTAAATTTTAGTAAATTATAAAGTATCCATTTTTGAGCAAGCAAATAAGATAAGCTATAATAAAAATAACCTACCCTATTTTGATCACACTGATTTGATTTTAGTATTTTTCTCAGTCCTCCTGAAATTTCACGAAATGGTTTATTAAAAACTTTGCTTGCTCAAAAAGAGATTTATTTATCAAATATGCCTACTAAGTATAAAGCACATTCAGGTTATTTGAACTTGGAAGGGGGAGGATTTGGAAGAGCTGGAATTCTTTTGGGAGGGCTTCACTACTGACCATTGAATAATCCAAGTATTGTCATTGGATTGTTCAGTTCCTCTGTGCATATGATAAAAATAGATTTTCTCTATTAATTAAAGAAGAAGATATATCTAAAGTTCTTTGAATTTCACAGATAAAGACATGTTGTAAGTGCAAGGTAGAGTCAGTTAAACTATAATGAGACATATATGTTTCTTAAAAATTACCATGCTCTGCATATTTGAGGAATAAAAGCTATAGGGCTTGTGGGAAAATAGGGTTGGGGCACAACACTTAAAAAGTTGGTTAGAAATACATATAAAATGTTAGGACCCTAATAAAAACACTATCACAGCTTTATACAAGTTAAGTGGTTAAGAAATACAATAGATATGACACTTGTACCTTGGAAAAGACTTGGAATTTGCTTTTGGATATGTGCATCTACATTCCCACCAGCTTACCCTGTCTCCCATGCCTACCACCTTGTGTGCTGTAGGAAGATAAGACAGCTATCAAAAGAGCGAGAGAAAAGACAAAAGCATAGAACAGAGCAGAAGAATGAAAATAGGGTGAGAAGAAAGAGAGGGAATTAAACAGAAGGGAAGGCACAGAGCCATTCAGCTAGGGTGGCCATGGAAAAAGAGCAGCCAGAAGTGGTGGATAGGAAATTATCTGAAATCAGATAGAAATCTGTAATACCACATGTGGAGGGTGTGATTTATTGTCCTCCTGAACTATGTGCACATATATGTTTTGTGTAATCTTTCATGGCTTACTTCAGCTAAATGTATTCTCAGTTGAAATGGTGCATGAGTGTATGTGAAATCCATTTTATACTAAAATTTTTCCCTAATATATCATATGCATTGAAATAAATTTTTGTTTTCAAAACAACTGTTATAGTAAAACTGACTATATATTTTTTCCACCATAAATTATAGTGTTTTTACTTTTTACATATTACTAATCTACAGCAAATTGTTAAGCAAAAACATGTAAACCTGACCATAACAGAAACTTAATCTGGCAGGGAAAATACAGTATTAAAAGCCAGTACATGGAAAGTGAAGAAACTATCTTTAGGGTAGTACATAGTGAATAAAAATAGGCCTGTGGAGGCAGGCTGACTTGGACTCAAATCTGGACTCAACGTTGCTCTCACTGTGTGATCTTCCACAAGTTCATAAACTCCTAGAGCCTTAATTTCCCTGTAAAAACTCTGTAATTATACACACCTCCTAGGATGGTTATTAAAATTAAATGTTTTAAAGTATGCAAAACTCCTAACATAGTATCTGGTCTACAATAAGCATGTAGTAAATGCTACTTCCCTTTTTTCTCTCTTTTACTAGGTGAATACGTTCTTTTTAAATAGGACCATCTTTGACAACAGCCTTCCCCTAGGTCTCCAAAGGGAACTCTCTACAAATTATTTTTTCCCTTTCTTATACCTACAGGTTCAAGAATATAGAGAAGCTCTTGAAGAAGTCCTCATCAAGGGCAAAAATGGAGTCCCACTTCTGCCAGAGCTGTACAGTGTTCCCCTTGACAAGGTGAGCTAGACACTGCTGGGAGAAGAAGAGCAGTACCTCGATAGGACTGCCTCGTTTCAGTCAAATAATTTTTACCTTCTTCTGATTTTCATGTTCTAAAAGTTTGTCTTTAGGTATAAGACAATAAAAATAAAATTTTGTTCCCTTGAAAATAAGTTTTTAAGGCAGTTATGACATTGTTGCACAGCAAGACAAGGGTAAGACCAAACCTTATGGTGGTAGTTTCAAGGGTGTATACCAAGATGCATATATTAAGTATGTATAGCCCTTTGTATATCAACCATAACTCAATTTCAAAAAAATAAAATTAATTGTTCAGAGGTTGATTTTTTTAAAAAAGACCAAACCTTAAGGTTGAGAATGATGTGGAGATCATTAGGCAAAGCCAGAGTGATGTTCTTCCTCTGGGAACTCTCAGAATTTGATATTCTTTGCTCTGAGGCCAGTAACCTGGGATTGTTTGAGTAGATCAGTCTTGAAAAATAAAGTAGGTTTGCATTTTTCCAAAATGCCAGTTGGGAATACTGTTGTTCTTCTCCATTGCAGAAGAGTATTAGCCATAGGAGAGATGCAGTCTTCAATTCTGGTGGGGATGGGTGGAATAAGCTCCCAGCAACATCAACAGCATTACCTGAGAGCTTGTTAGAAATGCAGATATCAGGCCTTCCCCCACACCTACTCAGTCAGAATCTGCCTTTGGACAAGATCCTTAGGGGATTTGTATCCACATACAGTTAGAGGAACACTGCCCTACATTGTAATAATAGTGCTTGACTTTTCAGTATATGGCATATGTGACTATTTTATAGGGTATAGCCCTGCCGGGCATGGCTCAGTGGTTGAGCGTCAACCTAGGATCCAGGTGATCAGGGTTCGATTCCCTGTCAGGGCTCAGGGTTCGATGCCTAGGTTGCGGGCTCAATCAATGACTCTCTCATCATTGATGTTTCTATCTCTCTCTCTCCCTCTCCTTTCCTCTCTCTGAAATCAATAAAGACATATAAAAATAAATAAATAAATAAATTAATTAATTAATTAATTAAATAAATATAGGGTATAAATAACAATCCAGACTCAGCCTTTTTGTTGTCTGGTATTTTAAACATTCTATTACCCTTCATGTGGCCCTTTTATCTTTTAGGTTGATGAAGAATATCAAAATCCTCACACTGTGGACCGAGTCCCTATGGGCAAGTTGCCTCATATGTGGGGTCAGTCTTTATACATTTTAGGAACCTTGATGGCAGAGGTAAGGAGAAAATTCAAGGCTCTTTTTCTGCTTTAGTCACCATAGTAATCAGATTTGTGAGTAACTCATTAAGTCTTTTGTCTTTTGTATTCTGCCTTAATTATATATTTTCCTTCAGGTCATTAGAATGGGAGCATGACCAATCCTTGACAAAATCTTTCCCCCTGGCAACCGTGTCCTTCATGTTCCCCAGGGCTTCCTACCTTGGCACTGTACCTGCAGCTGCTCTGGGATCAGGCCCTAGATCTTTCCCTTTCAAAACGCCCCCTAGTGCTTTGCCTGGTGACTGATGAATGAAGTTGTGCTTAGACAGTATGATTGATAATGGATTTAAGTGCTAATTTTTCTAAGCAACATAATGCTTCATTCTTTAATTGAATAAACTGATAAGATAATTATAGGAACCATGACATGGTTTGGAACACCATAGTCTTTATTTATTTTTTTGTTTGTTTTTTGGTAAGGGGCTTTTTAAATGTTTCATATATTAAATTCTGTTGAGACAGCTCTTAATGGGGCACTTGGGAATTTCTGTCAGCTTATTTGTGACATTTTGAGTATATAGGAAGGGTTATCTTTCTCAAAGTTTTTCAGACAAATATATTTACTGACAAATATATTTCTACATTGTAGGTTACTATGGTGAGCCATAACCCAGGCTCTTAGAGGATATAGGGTGGGACTTAGGTATTCTTTCTGAGCCAGACTCTATGACCTGTTTACATATGACTGTTGATTTTCTGCAGCTATTTTTGTTCTGTTTTTCCCAGTTCTATTGAGATATGATTGGCCTACATCACTATGAGTTTCAGGTCTATGGTTTTTGGTGCCAATTCAATGCCAACAAGAATCCCCAATTTGGGGTATTGTGAAGAACGTAACTTTATTTAGTACAAACAGCTCAATTGTGATACAGCACAGCTGTGTGAATAGTATGGTTGTGGACCAGCTGAATAGTGTTATAGCTCAATTATGGAGTAGCACAGCTGTGAAACAGCAGGCGGCCCTAGGGCAAGGCAGACAGCTCCTGCTAGACAGCTCAGCTCTGCTCTGCCTGCTTTGCTCCTTTCTACACTAGTCTTCTTCACTCTGTTCTGCTCTGCCTGCTCTGCTCCTCTGAGATGTCTTCAGTGTTTAATTTTCAGTGTTTCAGCTCCAGTCAGGGAAACACGGTCTTCAGACTTCCTTGAAAAGGGAAAGTGCACTCTCCTAGTCAGAGGGGAGTGACTTACAAAGAGAGGTCTCACCCATGGTCCCTGATTGGTCTGTCGTCAGGTGAATGAGGACTCCAAATCCTTAGTTTGATTGGTCCAAAAGGCACTGTCCTGATTGGTGAGAATGGAGCCACACTGATTGGTCAGTGAAGGTGCTGATGGGGGATATAGCTGTGCAGCTCTGATTGACTAGGTAAAGTCTCAGTCCTATTGGTTGAAGTACAATTCCGGGAACTCATTTCTAAGGGGTGGCTCAGATGCAGGAACACAGTGCAGGCAGGCAGGCAGTTCAGTGAAGACTTTTCCCTGAAGTGTGAAGGGCCCCTATTTAGAAACAGCAGCTAGGCTCTACTTTTACATTTAAGCCCAGTTAGCCACCAGGAGCCCTTCTTGGTAGGTATCTTCTTTCTCAGGGTTCACAAGCATGAAGGTTTGATTATCTATAGTTGACATTATGTAACAATAACGGGTGATTTTCTCATTCAAATCGAATAAAATAAATAGTATGAAAAAAGGAGATGGTTTTTTTAAGGGCAAAACAGGTGAGTTCACCCCATTTCATTAAAGACAGAAACTCAAATCAAGTGAAAAGACATCTGGTGAGCAGAAAGCATTGCAAATACATGAATAAATGAGAAATCAACAGGACTAATGAGTTAAAATATTGATAATAAGCATTGTGGTCTGATTGTCTAATCATATAAATCCAGAGATGGTAGAAGTGGAACTAGAAAACTTTGTTTATCATTTATACCCTATCTGTTTCCAAAAAAAGGATTTGTGGTGGCCACTAGAAATTAACTCCAGATAAAATTAATTTGGATAAGAATTCAGGAGTTCAAACATTTTCATAGTGTGAAGATATTTGTTTCCATCTCATGACTGCTTCTTACCCGTTATGGTACAGAGTTGTGGCACTGGTCTGTTGTTTCTCCTCAACCATTAGCTTTTTGAAATATAATAATTTGTATTTTTATGGTTTTTCTTTAGGGATTTTTAGCTCCTGGAGAAATTGATCCCCTGAATCGTAGATTTGCAACAGTACCAAAGCCAGATGTTGTGGTTCAAGGTATGTATCCTTATTCTCAGCAACAGAAACTTTATATTAAAGATTTGTTTTGGCCAGTAAATGGTGACTTTATTCATTTTTTTTTTCTTTATTGAAAATATTACAGATGTCCCCTCATTAAACCTCTCCACCAGGCATCTACCCTCCCCCCCCCCAGGTCTTCACACTATTGTCTGTGTCCATAGGTCAGTTATATATGCATCTAAGTTCTTTGATTAATCTCTCCCCCCACTCCCTACCCACACCTTCCCTCTGAAATTTGTCTGACTGCTTCATGGTTCTATATCTCCGTATCTATCTTGTTCATCAGTTTATTTAGTTTATTACATTCCACATATGAGTGAGATCCTGTGGTACTTGTCTTTCTCTGACTGGCTTATTTCACTTAGCATAATCCTCTCCTGGTCTATCCATGCTGTTCCAAAAGGTTAGAGATCCTTCTTTTTTACAGCTGCATAGTATTCCATGGTGTAAATGTACCACGGCTTTTTTATCCACTCACCTACTGATGGGCACTTGGGCTGTTTCCAGATCTTAGC